CCCCCCCGTTTCTACTACTGTTGGCTGAATTTTTTCTCAAACTCTAAGAATCGCAAACTCTGATGGAATTTCAGCGGTGATTCGGCACAAACTTCACGTTTCCCGTGTGTGTTCCTCCATCTTTCTCTTACTCGGCTAAACTTACTTTCCTTCTGATCTCTCGTGCGGCATAAGATATCGAGAGATGTGTGCACACAAAAGGGAAGAAGAAGAAAAACAATCTAAACAGAATTTTAAATTGTCGAGGGTGTGTTTGTGCGAGAAGAGAACAATGGGTGTGCCGATTTCTTTTTTTATATATATATTTTTTCAATATGTAGTACGTGACGATAATTCATAAGTTATAAAAAATAGTATTAGGTTTTATAGAACAATTATGAGAGGAAACAATACGTTCAATGTATACGTACAACCTGCAACATATTCCCTTCTGTGAACATTCCGAGAATCATTTCCATCAACATCCCTAAAGTAGCAAGGCACGAAATAAACAATCAGTTATCTATTCCTTTACTTAGAACTTCCCACTTTGATCATCCTTTCTCGAATGAGAATAAAAAAATATATGTGAGATAGCTACACGCGCTTACAACAACACAATAAATGCATGCACACCTAACAACCATCGATGTATTCGATTTTTCCCTCCTTCCTTTTTTTTTTATTTTTTCGATGAGTTTGGGTTCTTGAGGGGGTTCGAGCACCTGTTTGTATTTCAGCCTGCCGACACATAAATCATTCTGGAATGGACTAACGCCTTTTATCACTGCTATAGGCCCACTCTCTCGTTCCTTTTGCCCAACACCACATATTCACTACAGTATTCCCCTTCTGCCTAACTTTCGATGCTAGGTAGATAGATCTTCTCTTCTCTTTCTCTCTCACGCTTATATATTTTCGATTCCATTCGAAAGGGACTCATATACGCCCACGCCAGTAAGATGAATATGAATTTTTCGTTGTGGAGTCTCTGGAAAAGTGTCAAACGAATTCTCGCTAGTCCACCAGAAAAAGAAAAAGAAGAACCTCAACCCCTACCTCAATTCTTTCTTCCGAAATATCATTTATATGCGTGTAACAAATTACCAAATCAACTTATTTTTTTTTTATTACAACCAGTTGAATTTTTCTCTAACGCAATTTCAACTTTATAAATTTTCCCATTTGACACCATCGTGAAAATATGTCTAACAAATGTTAATTCGACATAAATTCTTTTTTCCTTATAGATAATCGATTTGTTTAACACATTTTTAATCGTTATACCAATAATTGACTCCTTACATTTTTAACGACTGTGTAAATATTACCCGGAGTAGAAATAAATAGAAAGACGACACATTGAGGCCATCTACCAAAAATTCGGATGCACGATCGAACTTTGCCATGCCATACGTTATTCCATATATTAACATATTAACATTATTTCCTTTGTACGGTTCGTCGTTGCCACGCGAACGATCCTGCACTGAATTTTCTTCTCCCTTGAATTTCGATCTAAAGAAATTCTTGTTGAAAATTGTCAGAAAATTGAAAACAGCCCGCCCGCCCGCACGCACGCACGCACGCACGAGAAGAGGGTGCTTAATTATCATTTTTTCCTTTTTGTTGTCGAAAAATGAAGAAAAAAAAGAAACAGAAAGAAAAAAAAAAAAGAACTTCGACAGGGAGACAGAGGTAAAGGAAAAAAAAAAATACATCGAAATAAGGGCCAAAACGATACTTAATTATCATGATAAAGCTGGCTCTCCTGTTCGAATACCTGTTCGAATTCGAAAGGTAAGATCGTCGAGCGTGTTTTCTGGTGAATAACGCGATTCCATTGTCACCTAGAAGAATTGGATATTCTTCCGAGGTCGGTTCGGTTTGTCTGTCTGTCTGTCCGTCCGTCCGTCCGTCGGTTGAACGGTCGATCGGGATATTCGAAAACGTTACACACGAGTTTACCTGCTGTCCAAACAAACATTACTTTTTTTCAAGAAAAAAACATCCTTAAACCGAACCGATGTTCTTCGTAATCGCGAATGGCGTAAATATATATGCCGAGTATATACATATATATATATATATGGAAGTACATATGTACGTTTTTATTGCGACATTCGAAAACACTTGTTATGTGATTAATTATATTGAATATTTTCTTTTCTCTTTAATCAAATATGACAAATCAAGGAAAGAAAAATGTTTCGTTATTTATTATTACTATTTTAACGAGTAATAGAAATGATATATATATATTATGTGATGAAAATTTTCATTATAATTGGAGAACTCATTTTTACAAGAAAAAATTATGACTTTTCGTGGAAAGATTTATATGGTATTATTAATCTATTATAAGAAAAAAAGACAAAAAACATATAGCGGAATAACGATTGCTCTTATAGAATAAAAGTCTTGATTTATCGAAGATCTATTATTAATTTCTTTGTGGAAAAATAACGACATATTATATATAAATACTGTAACATTATTATAACAAATAAGATGTAGAAAATACTTGACGTTATTTTATCTTGACGTTAACGCATCGGTAAGAAAATGACGTCAATCAAACAGACAGACAGACAGAGAGAGAGAGAGAGAATCTAAAGATACTATAGCATGATGCTTGCCTGTATAGTCCCATGTAGTTCTGTAATTTTCGGATTTCCACGTTCCAGCATCCATCCGAGATAAGATATATATATATATATATATAAAAGGAGAGAGGAGGAAGACTTTCTCTCTCCTAGTCTAGTCAAGCTCTCATCCTCAGCTTCCTGCTCTGTGATCTCCGAGCGTCTGAGTTTCATCCCTCTTGAAGTTAGCTAACAGCAGGATCCTGCACAATGTAGCCGTGATTGCAAATCCGCTCGTTATCATCAAAACTGTGCTCGACCTAACGAAAGCGCGTCTCTCCCTTCGCCCTATCTCTCTCTCTCTCTCTCCCTCCCTTCCTCTTTACTCTCACTTATATACTTGAAAACCCTTGCGAAATAGGTAGAGAGGGTGGGAAGGTGGTAGGGATGGAGGAAGTATCCATCTTTCTCCTTTCCTTTGATGGAATAAAAAGTACCGACTTCCTTCGTAACATCCTTGACGGATTTTCAAGAGAAAATAATTTTAGGAAATGTTCATACATTTCATTTCTATTATATTACGTGTATTTCTTCTTTTTTTTTTCTTTTTAAATATCTCTTTTTTATTCATTGTCACACACGATTGCGTATAAATGTATTATATCAAAGACATTTAATAATAAATGTTGAACGATGACAAGCGATGCGAAGACTATAATGGTAAGTTTTGATAGCGCATGCCTACGTGATCCCAACTCACCTGTAATATCAGACCTCGAATCCGTCATCTGGAAAGAATGTTATCTTACATTGACTATTTTTCTAGCTATCTCATGCTTACTCATTTCACGTTTGTATGAAATTATTTGATCATATTTCTAAAGAGAAATGTTCTTACGTAATGGATTGTTATTAACGGAACCGATTTTTCTTTTTCTTCTGCTTTTTCTTTTTCTCGTTTTAGTTTTCTATCGAAAAAAAAAAAATCGGAAACAATGTAAGGAGGACAGGATCATCCGTGGATCTGTCGGTGGGCGTAGCTCCTCCTAAGATTTCTTTTTTTCCCCTTTTTTTTTTTTCTCTCGTCTGCGTGCCTTTCGGAAAGCAGCGACGCGTCGTTGATTCGAAAGGAATAATCGGATTAAAGGTCCATGCGGGGTTCGGTTCATTGTGCGATAGGTTGACTCGTGAGAGGGATGAAAGACTCGCACGGTTATATGAACCACGATTCAAAAATACAAAGACAAAGACAAAGAGAAATGGCAAAAAGTGTTAAGAGTAGTGTGACACACAGACGAAGATAGAAAAAGAAAGAAAGAAAGAAAGGAAAAGGATAATCGACATGAAGATTTAATGAAAGAAAATGGAAAGAGGAAGTTTTCGATCGTTCAGGCAAATAATTCGATCCTCGAACACGAATTCAATTGGTACTGAGACACGTGTTCTGACCCTATTGCATAAAAAGAGCCCCTCTCTATCGGGTCGTGCACCTTGGCCCCAGTTCGAAACTCGCTACACCCAAATCACACGCGATTATTTCAAGCGTAATCTTTATTGAAATTATGTTAACAAAATAATTGTCATTTTTTGGAGGAGGGGGGTGCGGTTATCCAAGATAACGGGCAATGGGAAGATCTTATCCTTTGGTTCGAGTCGGCGGCGGCTTCGCTTAATTATCTCGGCGCGGTTTATCAACGAAAATGAAACGATCACGCTGAATCATCATCGATGGGATTAATTTGACTCGGCGCACATCGATGGAAATCATTTGTTCCCATGGAGAATCGTGCGAAACTATACTTAGATCTTATCTAGATGGTGTTCATGGTGTTTATCCTTTGTATCCGATACCTTCCTGCACATGTAATTGCACCTGTTCAAACGACGTATTCATATATTTCTATGGAAAATTTATAACAGACATAATTATTGTGTATTAACACTATCCGAGAATTACGTATGTCGAATATAATATGATATAATAAA